TTGCTTCAGTGGCCTTGTTTTTTGCCAGGTTAAGACTCCTCCTTCTCTCAGGCATTTGGTAGAATATGATGAGGTTTTAATTGGATTCCAGATTTTTCTTATTGTTGTCTTCTTAAAGGTTTTTTTTTGATAGGACCAGTTCTCTTCAGCATCTTTGAAATGATCTAGTTGAGGAAGTCCAGGGAACAATAATGCAATGTTATGGAGCTGCAAAAACGGCAAACTCTATTTTGGGATGCATAAATAGAAGCATCACTTCCAGAACAAAAGAAGCACTTGTTCCCAATTACTTTGTACTAGTCAGACTTCATCTGGAACACCGTGTTCAGTTGTGGGTACCAGGTTCAAAAAAGATGCAGAAAAACTAGAAAGAGTCCAGGACAACAAGGATGATTCAAGGCTTAGAAACTAAGCCATATGATGGGATGCTGAAAGAGCTGGTCTGTTCAGCCTTGAGAAAAGAAGACTTGATAGCACTCTACTGGTACCTTAAAGGCTGTCACACAGAAGAACGAAAAGATCTCTTTTTACTCATCTTAGAGTATAGGATATGGAACAATGAACTTAACCTACAGTACACCAGGTACAGGCTGGACAAAAGGAAGGACTTCTAACTGTCAGAGCAATAAGGCAGCAGAACCACTTGCCAAGGGAGGTTGTGTGAGTTTGCATCCTGCTCCTGTGGGAGGTTGATCCAGATGACCTTCCTGGTCCTTTCTGACTCTACTTTTTGTGAATCTATGACTCTATATATGTGTGTTTTAGAGTCTCTTATATGTAAATAGGTTTTTATCGTATTTTAAAGGTTTTATTCTTTGTAAACCTCTCAGAGAGTTGCAGCTATTGGACTGAAATTATAATAATGAATAAATGAAATAACATTGCCCAGTTAATCAATCTCTGTGCCAATAATAGCAGTGTTATACCTACCATAAAGAGTTAACCAGCCATATTTAGAGGAATAGCAGCAAAAATGTGTTTTATCTGCATCAAACCAGCAGCAAAAGATAACATAAGAGGTGAAAGGTAAGGGCACTTGTAGCTCACCCAGAAGGATAAGAAAGAGACCTTCCTGTCACTAGGGCCCCATTTCGTGAGCCAAGAAGAGGCATTTTTGTCGTCATGGTTAACTCCCCTTGGCTGCCTTTAGGCAGCAGAGCACCAAGGGTGGGAAGAAGGAAGAAACAGTGGGCCATGTTCAGGTGCATTAAAGAAGCTTGTGGCCTTCCAGATGTTTGGTGTTCAACTCCTGTGATCCCTTGTCATTGGCTATTTTGGGCAGGGCTGATGGGAGGTGGAGGCCAAAATATCAGGAAGGCCACAGGTGGCTGGCTTGGACACCTTCATAAATATGAGAAGTAGTCCAGAGACAAATGGCCTTTGTTTCTAATAATTCACAATAAGATTTTAGAGATACACCCAGAAGGTCAGAAATATCATTATGAAATGGTACTTCTGGGGCTGCAGTCCTTTGCATTTTTAGGCAGAGAAAAGGCCTACAACTCTCAGCATGCTCCAACCAGCCCTCCTGGAGCTGTGGGCTCCTCTGTCATAGGCAGGGCTTTTTTTGTCATAGAACGCACCGGAATGGCATTCCGGCACCTTTTTTCGATGGATTTTTGCACGTGATTTTGAATCGCCCTGTCGGGCATAGCAGGTTGGCGGCAAATCATTAAAATGGTGCATGCGGGCTGCTTGTGTGTCTGTGCTGGTTGTGATGGTGCTGCTGGGCTTGTGACACTGCTCGGCTTGTGATGGGTCGTGTGGTTGCACGCTGAGTGCTTACTGCGGGCGGCAACCATTATGTTTCATTACACAGTGTTGGTGTGTGTAGAGTGACTGGCTATGTGCAAAAGGTAAATAATTTCTTTATTTTAAAAAAGTTGGTGAATTGAAAATCTTTTTTTTTAATTTTTAGTGTAAAAGCATGACCACAAATTTAAAAATGAAAAAAATTACTAATTACTTCTCAACCACCGGTCCTGCTAATAAAAGATTACCCTAAAAAAAAACCTTAAATAAAAGATTAACTAGATGTGAGTTCCGGCACCGGTTTTTTTTTTTTTTTTTTTTTACAAAAAAGCACTGGTCATAGGCATAAGGTTGTGCTGTGACTCACTCTTCCTGCCGGTGTCATTTGCAGCAGCCCGGATAGACAACTGAATAAGCCCACTAGTCCATCTGTCCCACCAGCCCAGCACGGACTATGCTGATCTGCTGCAACTCTGCAGCTTTTTGTTTTTTAAGCTCATTCTTCCAGGGATGGAACTGGGGCTTGTAGGCCCATGCTGGTGCACCACTCTGCGCTGATGCCACTTCTGAATTTATAACAAACCTGGCCAAAATATAAAAGGTGGTCATCACAACAGTATTTGAAGCAATCATTTTAAGAACTGGGCGAGGAGTGGTGTCAAATAACTCTCAATCTGGAAGCAAATGCCCTGTTTACCCCACTGGCAAAATCTCAGTTGTGGCCAATTAGAAAGCAGGACAAGGAAGCTGGACTGAACCACTCAGCAGGGGGCACAGACAGCTTTCCAGGCACCAACCCTCTGCACTGAAATAATTCTGCCTTCAAGATGCAAGCTCTCGATGCCTTCAACAGCTCCATTTTTGCAGGGTCATACAGGGACTCACAGGGGCTGCATCCACTCTGTAGACCACCTATCCTTGCTGTATAGCATGGAGACGATATCTGTATCAGCTAAGCAGCAGTGACAAATAGCACATGTCGGATGGTGCTCTTGACTCGTATGTAATTATCCAGGAGCCCTGGCAATTGGTGTGCCCTTCAAGATGGGCTGGAAGTACATGCTAAAATTCATCCCATGCTCTTGAAACTCTCTGAGCCTTAGGAATTTGTCCTTGTGCATCCTATAACCTTTTCGTTGAACTGAGCTCTCCTGCTCTCCTGGGTATAAATAATGCTGGCAAGTCAGGAGAACAGCTCAGGGCAGAGTGGAAGAATCAGCGGTTGCTTTGGGAATCACCAGCACATCCTTACTCATAGTTTGATGCAGAATCTGGAACAGATGGGGGAGCAAGGGAGTGGAAATTCTCTGGCAAAGGTGATGCTCTTCTTTTCGAGCCCATATTCCAAGAACTCAAGGGATGGGATGCCGTGTTTGTGTGCCTGTGTGCTTCCAGATGACCCATTTATTATGTAATCACCCTGCTGCAAAACCTGAAATTTACAAGGGGTTCAGACAGCATCAAGGTCCGATCATAACCCTCCTGGGATTACACAAAGTTTTCCCATTTTTTCTTATTTAAAAATGTCTATTAAGGAAGGAAAAATAAAATAGCTGCAGGGCACCTTTTGATGGGCCGTGCTAGTAGCTGTCTTTCTGGAAGCTGTGTGCGTGATTCTCCTATTTGTGAAATTCTTCCTTGCTGTCAAGGGCAGGAAACCAATTTCTGCTTTAGGACTGAACTCTGTTTTGGAGAAGCTCTTTGGGGGGGGGGGGGTTGCATACCAGTAATGGGTGCAGCTGAAGGCAAAAGAGGGAAAGCCAATATACTAAAAATGCCAGCATATTTTAGGTGGAAGTTCCTACATCAGGTAACTCAGGTCAAGGAGCGGCATTTCAAGAACCAGAGGCACTGTGCCCACGCACATCAGTGGCTGGAAACCTGTTGCACTTTGTCCTGCTTGTGGGAACCTGTGGCAACTGGTTGGTCACTGTGGATGCTGGACCCCTGCTCTGACCCAGCACCATTCTTCTTTTCATTTTCATATTCCTCAATAGCCAAAACAGTTCTTATGTAAAACTTTTAGTGGAAAAATAAACCACAGAAGAGCTGGAAGACCATAGAATGTTCAGTGTCCATGGAAAAGGGGTATAGCGAGTAAAAAAGCCATCTGGGTTAGACTGGGACCCCAGGAGGGCTGGATTTGGCCTATCAGCTTGTGGTTATGCTATGTGGTTTACAGAATGTTGATAGCAGTAGGGCCTCTGAAATGATGGTTAAAAGAAAGCAGAATATACTCAGAGTGTGTGAGTCATCAGTTCATCTATGGTTGAGAGCTGCAAAGACATGAGAACTGGATCAAACTGGATCAGATGGACCAATGGTCAGTCCCGTGCAGCACTCCATTTACATGGTGGCAAACCAGCTGTCCACAGGATCCCTTGGGCAGGATGGGTACAAGCATTCCATCTGCCCATACTCCTCAGCAACCAGGGTACACAGGCATATACCTCTGACAATGGAGGCAGCACATATCCAACAGAACTACTAGCCACTGATAGCCTCTTCCTCCATGGATCTGGCCAATCCTCTCTTAAGGCCATCCCATGGACGGTCATCACTACTCCCTGGTAGTGAATTTCCATAGTTCACCCATGCATAGTGTGAATAAATACTTCTGTCCCGAATCTCCTACCCATTATATTCATGGGATGACCATGATTCTAGTATTATGAGAGAGCTATGCACTTTTTCCACACCATGCATAGCTCAGTACACCTCTCTCATGTGTCCCTTTACTTTAGAGTATGGAGGAAGAGATGAAATTGACTTGTGCAACCCTGATGCATTACAGCCCCACCTGGAATGGTGGAGCCTGGTGTAAGCGTTTGGGTGTGAGTGGTGAGGTTGAAAAACCTTTCCCCAGGTATTATATTGGTAGATTTTAGAAGGATATCACAAAACAAACAAACAAACACCACCACCAAACCCAAATCCTGTTCTTCATCCAGTTCTGGTCCTGTTCTTTATGTATAAGATGACCTGTTATTCTGTACCATACCTGATAAGTTACAAATAACCTTTGGTGGAAACCTTTTCAAAAGCTTTTTAGAAGTCTAGGACTGCTCCCATCCATTACTGACACTCTGGAAAAAACTCTAGAAGTTGGATGGAGCAGGACTTACTTTTATAACTTTTATACTTTTATAACAACATGCTGATTGTTCCTCAGGAAGGCTTGTTCTTCCAAATATATGCTAAGTCTCGATGGCTTATTCTTCATTTTGCTGTCACATGCTTCTTTCTAGTTACAGGGATGCTGAAAAGAACTTCCACAATATTTCAAACCGATGCTCCTACACAGACCATTCTGGCAATGACGAAACTGAAGATGTCTCAGGAATTCTCCAGTGTACAGCAAATATACTAGGTACTGTGCAATTTTGTTACATCCTCTTAGCTGGACACTTCTGAAATTCTTGTTTTATTCATGAATCCGTATTCTGCAGACATTGACTTGTAGCTGGCAACATCAATGTATGATAATGTCAAGGCTGATTCCAAGCATTTAAGAACTGCCTTGTTGGATCAGTTCCATGTTCCCAGGATTCTATTTCCAGCAGTGGTTAACTTGATACCTCAGGGAGGGATGGTATGAAGGCACTAAAGATATAATACCATGTAGGGTTGGGATGAAACTTAGGAGAATCCTTCCCTTAAGCATTTGTGGACTTCCTCTCATGGTTGGCACGGTCTTAGAAAGTGAGCTGAGCTGAGAGGAAGTCCATGAGCACTCACAAAGTTAAGGTTGCGCAACTGGCAATCTTTTTCCGTGGCATGTGCAGCAGAGCAGACAAAGGCTGCTCAGGTGTGCAGAAGAGGGAAACGTCTTGTGCAGCATGTGGAGCTCGATTCCTGGTGGGCATCCCTGATTCCTGGTTGCAGCACAAAGCAGGCCAGAGCCTGGGGATCTGAGCCCAGAGATGGTTCCCATGCCACAACATGCCTGTACCATGCTGCCTTGAATACAAAATATTTTTCTTCGCTGATAAAATCCAGGTTGTTAGTACAGTGACCATGTGGCTCTGAGGCATATGTAGAGAGCTTCACTCAAGAAAGGGCTGCTGATACATGATGCATATGACTTCTTCCATGACATTACAGAGAAGCAGCAGCCCTTCATTATTCTCCGACATCCATCCAAGAATACAATGGAGCACAGCATAGATGCACACTCTCCTTTTTTGTTGCTGATGAGTTGCAATGCCTTGGGTTAATCTTATAGTTGCTTTGACACAAGTATTTCTTGTAAATGGTGAGGGTATTTATTGGCCAGATGTTTTGGGGAACTCTGTGTATACAAACGTGGGCGCCACACCTTCAGCTTTCCCTGCCTTGTATGCTCCTACTCTTAACAGTGCAATTTTATGTTGATCCTATAGGAAATAAGCCCTATGGGGTTCTGTAAGAGCATTGCATTCCTTTTCCAGGGTGAAATACTCCCAAATAGAATGTAGGATTCTGCTGGTTATGAATGGTAGCAAGCCCATCACTGTGTCCTAACTCTGTAGCTCTTTGCATGTTTTCCCTTTGGCTTTAATAAAGAAAGTCCCTTTTTGATGGACCTTTCTCTGCCACCTCAAATGGTCCTGAGAACAGATCTTCCTTTTCCACACTCCTCTTAACTTCTTTTTCCTCTGTTTCAAGCATGGTTCTTTCTTGTCCCTGCCAGAGGCATCCTCTTGACCTTTGGCTTGACCCACCATACTTTCTCTTTGATTCCACTTCAGTGACCATGCCCTTACCCATAAGCCTCTCCTCTCCTGAATCCTTGTCAAGTGGCAAAGTCCCCTCTTTGTGTAATCCTACTTGCCTTCATGCACCTATAATGGTGTGAGGGTTGCCCCCACTCCTGTTGGAGCGTGTGTAAGGACTTCTGATGGGCTGTTTCTATCACAAGTGAACAAATGAAGCAAGAACTTCACCCATGCAAGTGCCATTGTGAGTCTCTTGTAGAAGATTCTAATGGATGTTAAACCAAGTTTCCCATGAATTTCTCTACAGCAGCCTTCTTCGGCTTAGTGTCTTCCAGAAAGTTTGGACTCCAGCTCCCAGAAGGCTTCATTATTAGCTATTCTGGCTGGAACTGGTGGGAGTTGAAGTTCTAAACATATGGAAGGCTGCTTTGGGGCATAACTGGAAAAATGGATTGCTCATTTAGTGCCTTTCCAGGAATTTGCAAGTTGCTTGAACACTTCTTCCAATTTCTTTCACGATTCTCACACTTTAATGTTACAGTGTGTTGAAAGCTGCGCAAGGAAATTCTCACTGTTTGCAAATAGTATGGGTGCTACTTTGCCTTCTGACTCTTGCATGTGCATTTTAAAGGAGTGATTCCCTGACCAAATAAGCAGGGTTTCCCCACCTCCCTGCATTCACATTTTGCAAAAGGCAACTGAAGCTTCCAGTAACTGACATGATATAATTCATGCATTTAAGAAAATCCACCAATTTTGGCCATGTGTAGAAGGTAGATAGCTACAATGCTTGCTGAAAAAAATAATAATGGGGCTATTGGATAGGATTTATTGAATCATTCTTTTGTACATGTAGACCAATTTGTGTAGACCAAGGTGCAGATAGTATAAACCGCTGGTAGAATCACTAGCTACAAAGTTGTGCTGTGAGTTATAATCTTGGTATAATAATCTTTTCCTCTTTCTGGAAATAGATACATGCTTCCCCTCATCGTCACACTTCAACCCTTCCTTCTTGTTTCTGCCTCTGAGCATGGAAGCTTTTAGATTGCATTCTTCTCCCAAGTTCAGAAGACAATGGCATATATGCATCAGAAAACCTGAGCTAGCTGTTCTTCCCTGAATTCTATCTTAAATCCTGTTCCAACTTGAGTTGGTACCAAACTCCAAGCTTTGCTCTATTTTTCTTTTTGCATGAAAATCCCTGAGTATTTTCATGTTATTTTCCCAAATGTTCATATTAACCATACACTGAAATGTATGCATTCTTTGCCCATTTATTAATGTGCATCCAAGTACATTTTTCAGAAGTCTGCATTTTTGCATGTATATTTTATAAGTGTACATATGTTGTCCAACATTTTATTTGGTCTGCCAAGCACACTGCAGGCTGGGAAATGTACTGACTTTAATCACATATTGTATCCAAGTCTGCATTCAGACTGGAAGCTACAAGCTCGCTAAATCCTGCTAGAACCAACCTGGAAGGAATTCTTCATACATCCCTAACCATGAGCTAACCAGTGTGTACAAAGTTTCTTGCAGTCCATGGGGAATTTATTGTCCTTGCATAGATTGCTGCGTATTTATATTATAGCAAATACCTAATTCATGCTCCTAGGAAATGATTGTCCCTATGAAAAATAAGGCAATAATTCTTATGCTTGGCTGGGCTATGTATATATGTTTTTTGATTTTAAAAGCTGCTGGAGAGAGAAAAAGTGGATTGTTTTTACAGGGTTCCTTTCTCCTCAGGATTTTCTCTGTCTGGAAACAGTTGTGGGAAATACCACAGTCTTTCACAGGCCCTGTATGAAAACCACAGCCTGCTACCCAAAAACAGGCCCCCGGGGGATTGTTAAAGCCAGTGCCTTTCCAGAGATAGCTCTCATTCTTACTCATGTTAAGTTCCACCCACACGATGCAGTGATGTCAGAAATCTCAATCTTCCTTATCCATGGTAGCAAACCTACTTGTTCTTCTTGGCATGCAGATGCCTAAACAGATATGTGCTCCACCTGAGACATAGCCCTACAGGAAAATTCAGCTGCTTTCCGTTTTTCAAGCCATTCCCAAATCCTGCATCTCTGATTATTGCAAAGTCTAAAAGTACCACAACAATGCTTTGAGAATTCGCGAGGTGAATCTGGACTGTTAGTTACACTTCATGCCCATTGTGCTAGCTCCGTTTATGTCTGTGCATGAAAGATGCAGAGTCCTTGAAGGAAGTGGTGTTCATGACACAGGACGGTACCTTATATCAGGTTAGACTGTTAGGCTCTCTTACCTGATATTGCTTGCTGTAACAGGTGATAGTTCTCCAGGATCTTAAACAAAAGTTATTTCCATCATTTGGTACCTTTAACTGGAGATGTCAGGAATTTAACCATGGACCTTCTCCGTGAAGAAAAAATCTGCACTCTTTCATAGAGCTATAGTTTCTCTTTGGGAGTGCTATTCAATAGGAAAGGGGAGGTCATCTCCTTTTCTAAGCCCTTTGAGGTCTGTTATGATAAGCATTAATTCCAGAGATCTCTCAGTGAATGCATTTAAAGTACATTTGGCTGGATTTAGACTAAGGCAGATGGAAAGGTGCTACAACTCCCAGAATTCCCCAGCTAGTCTTACTTGCTGGAGAATGCTGGGAGATATAAGAATTTTCCTTCTCTAAACTTGAAAAGTATTGTATACTTTGTGTTGCAGAGGCTTTTGGAAAATGTTCAATTGAAAACCCCAAACTGACTGGCCCTTATTTAGCAGGTTTATATATCCAGTAAAGCTTAAAAATATGAAGCTAAAGAAAAGTATACCATGTCCATTTTACAGACTGTATGAACAACCCTAATTCTCTCTCCAGCAATAAATAAAATATATTGCAAGATAACCATTCTATTGGGGAAAAACTAATCATGCAACTTGTAATCATCTAGATAGTGGTGGATTAGAATTTTTTAACTGCCCAGACATCTGCCCAGAGAGCTTCTGTTGTGGGACAGTATAGAAATGAAACAAACAAACAACAACTTCCATCTTTTTTCTTTGCTAGCTGTGTTGGCTAGGGTTGATGGGAGATGCAGTTCAATATCTGGAGGGCCACCAGCTACCCACCCAAAAAGTTGCCCAGTCTTGCTTGTGTGAGAGCAAGACCCTCCTGCATTTGGCAGGAGTACAGGATTGCTCTGTCAAGATGGCTTAAATGCTGTTCTCAAAGCAATTCAAAGCTTCACTTGGGAACTATTTTTATTGCAATGTGTGTAAATACTTTAAGACAGGACACCTAAGTAGCATACACTTTCAAACATTAATTTTAGAAAAGCAGATTCTAAGTTAAGCATGCCCAAAGAACCATGCATTCAATATCATGATTATTACAAGCAGTCACTGGTAAATATCAATTGCAATGTTGAAACTGCAAAGTTCGATTTGCTTGGTGTCTGTTCATTATAAAACTGTTTTTTGGTGCTTGGAAACATTTCCATTTTGGAAATAGAAGAGGTTCTGCCCCACATCACTGGACATATTAAAGTTCAGTCTCTTGAACCTTGACATAATTGATTTCCACTCAAGCTTCTTTGCTTTCTCCTCCTCTGTCTCTGACCTAAGTGCTCCAATACCCCATTCTGGGATCTTTGTGCAGCTTTCCTTAAAAGCCAATGATATTTGGAAGCCATTTATTTCTTCCTCACTGGATAAGCAAAAAAAGACTGGCAACAGGTGAGAGTGGGAGGAATGGTCTCCATGGAGATTGGGCCTGTGGAAAAAACCTTTCCAGTATTCTCTGCACTATTAGGCAAGAGACCACCTTGAACACTTGCAAATGTCAAAGGTATTCCAGCAAACATATTTGGAGCTGCTTAGAAAAGTCAGTTTTCCATGCTACTTTTCCCCCTTGATGATGTTCAGCCAAGAAGAAACTGTTTACCCTGAGAGATAACTGTGACTGATGGGTAAAAGTCCTAGGCCAACCACTCTTCTGAAACAGTAGGAAAGTGCAAATGATGAGCAATCATCTTAAAATAGATTGTCTTCAAACAGCTACCAGAAAAATAATAGTTTACACAAGCAAGGCAATATTTGGTGCAAATTGTCACTCACTGGCCTCTCCTTCAGCAATCTCAGCTCTTGCAATTGTGACCTTTTTGCTAATCAAAAGCATCAGATTCTGTCATGACAGGCATCCCTGTGTGTGTGTTTCAAAAAAAGAAATTGCACATCTTGCAAGTTCTATCCTCTTTCCAATAACTATGCTACTGGCAGGTCTTTCTGGTTGACTGGGAAATGTTTTGGAGCATTATTGGGTGATGGGAGAACAGGAGGGACAATGGAAACTGCTAGCTAATTTGACTGGTGGGGTGGAAGGTGGTCAGCAAAGTTGGAACCAAGGGGGTGTTGAGAGGTGGCATCTTCTGAATCTCCAGAACCAACAAAGCAAGTTACGGTGGGGGAGGGAACTTTAAGATCATGACTGCAAAACTGGGGGTGGGTGGGGAGAAACCTCTATATTGATCGAGTTATAACATAGCTTTGGAAGCCTGCAGCAACCCCTTCCAAAAGATGCCGCCAAGCCTGCCTGGCAGGGCCTCTCTAGACTTTCAGTAAGGATTTCTTCCAGTCCTACCTGGAGATATGGGGAGTGGAAACCTCCACTACAAAGCATCATTGCTCCAGCACATTTCCTTTTAACACTCTTTAGCCATCCTGTCATAATTAAGATGGTGGCTGTTAAAGTTAATCTCAGTCAGGGTTTTCTTCTGCACACCCATTTCAGAAGGCCTTTGTGAAGAAAAAGCCTTTATATTTATCTCCGACAGGCTTATTTTGAAGATCATAGCTGGTGTTAAGAGACAATTGTACTGCTTAAAGAATGGGCCCATCCCTCTTGGAATGAAACATGAATGAACAGCTGTTTAATGCACAGCCCTATACAAGTTTGGGCAGAAGGAAAGGCTACAACTCACAGCATGTCCTGAGCACCACAACCTTGTTAAAAAAAGTAAGAAAAGGAAATGCCCTACAAGTACCTTAGCTTGGTTAAGAATAACAACAAAATACAGTGCATCACAGGCATAATAGCTGTCTGCACATACCCAAATAAAAGGAAGAATATAAATCTGCCACTGCTTTTGCTGGCTCCGCTCAGCTGGGCAAAGGTAGAAGAAAGGAACTTGTCTAACCATAAGCATGCACTCTCACCACTCACATTTAAATTTGTGGAAAACTAAACAACAGCCAGGCTGGTGTTGAGCCAAGCAAAAATCAAAGAATGCCTGAATACCAAAAAAAATAAAAAAGCCACTTCCTAGTCCCCAGACATTCCCACAAAAAACGGTATCTCTGTCCTGCTGATTTACTCCCCGTCCTCTGCGATTCCAGCTGGCCTACGTGGCCTTCCCATCATCTGCCACATCCCCACTCCAGGTCTGGTGGGAATGGCTAGGGCTGCTAAGCCATGTAGATGATCCTCTTCAGTTTTGGAGGAAGCAGTCCCCCAGCCCAGGCATCCTCTGTGTTTCCTTCAGCTGCTGAGGAGGTGCTGCTCCTGCACACTACACAGGAGGGAAAGGCTGGCCCTTGCCTATGTGGCAGCTTAAGCAGGAGCAAAGCAAAAGGGGATTTCAAGCACCATGTGCAGAAAGGGGATACACATGCCAGTGTTATCCCTGCTATATTCTCTTTCTCCTGGAGATGCCACCATAACCTGTGATTCCAGCCTCCATTAGCTGGGGGCATTTGGTCTCCTTCACTATTTCTTTAGTACAAAATGGTAACAAACATTAGGCCTGCTTCACATGCTCTCTCTAGACCAGGTGCTTTGTTGTTTAGCTCCCTGGGATCACACCTGATGTCAGCAGGTGGCCTGGGGGTGGGTCATATATGTGCACACACATGCATGCGCTGGGGTGGGAAGACTTTAGCCTTTCTTCCACCTCAGGATTGGTGGGGTGGAGGTGGGGGAAGCTGAACCCTCCATCCTGGTGACCCAAACGCTTTGCTGTTAGCTCAGAAGGAGCACCAGTTGATTTTGGAGGTGCTGGCGGAGAGGAGTGCATTTCCACTCAGCGCTGCTTCTCCATCACCAGTCATGCTGCAGGAGCAGCAGTGATACTTGCTCGAGGCCCTGGGAGGTTTTCATCAACCTGCTCTCCTCTCAGTGATCTCAGCTGCTTCAACTTCCTCCACTGCACTGGACAGGCTGCTGTTCTCCTGTGTTGCTATGGGCTGGCTGACTATGTGTGGTTGAGAACCTGGCCACAGTACCAAGAGGAATGGGCTCCACAAGGCAAGGCACAGGAGGTGCATTCCTGGTGTGGACTGTAGACTTGAGACAAGTTGCTGGAGACTCCATTGCCAAGGTTGGGGTGAAGTGTCTGACTCCTCTGTTGCTCGCTTAGATCCTAACTCTGGACTGAGAGCCTCACTTCAGAGAAAGGGGTGGGTTGCTTGCTTTGAGCCAGTCTAGTTCGGAGCACCTGCAATTTGTATTGCCAAATAATGATCCATTACAGGAAATAAGGATGGAGGTTAAATTCCCTTCATTCTTCATGCTAGGCTATCAGACTTGATTTGTGAGTAGCAGGCTTTGTCCTCTATCATTATTGCATTTGCTGAGTTTCTAAGAAATGTAAAAGCTGTATTCCGCAGAGATGGCCATAACAGCACCCTCACCGATTTACAGCATCGATGCCTCTCTTCCCTGACAACGCGGCTTATGTGACAGCACTGTCAGATTGACATGTGCTTCTTTGTTATCATGCAGGTCTGAAGTTTGAAGAGCTGCAAGAGAAATTTGGGGCAGAATTTTTCAACATCTGCTTTGATGAGAACGAGCGAGTTCTCAGGGCGGTTGGGGGCACCTTGCAAGATTTCTTCAATGGCTTCGATGCTTTGCTGGAGCACATCAGGACTTCGTTTGGAAGGCAGGCCACTTCAGAGTCCCCTTCTTTCCTATGCAAAGAGCTCCCTGAAGGCAACCTGATGCTTCACTATTTCCACCCTCACCAGATAGTTGGCTTTGCCGTGATGGGCATGGTTAAGGCCGCAGCAAGGAAGATCTACCAGCTGGAAGTTGAAGTGGAGCAGGTTGCAAATGACAAACTGTGTCCTGAGGACTCAAACCCGGGCAACTGCAACTGTCTCACTTTTCTTATCAAAGAACGTGAAAATGCAAATATCACGAAAGCACTTCCTCTAGGGACATCCCAGTCCCCCTCAGACCTGAGAATAAGCATCAGCACCTTCTGCCGAGCATTCCCCTTCCATCTGATGTTTGATCCCAGCATGCTGGTGCTGCAGCTTGGGGAAGGACTCAGGAAGCAACTTCGTTGTGATGCGCACAAGTTGCTGAAATTCCAAGACTGCTTTGAGATTGTTTCTCCAAAGATCGGGGCCACATTTGAAAGGGTCCTCCTGAGGCTGTCTACGCCGTTTGTGATTCGAACAAGACTTGAAGCAACTGGCTCTGAAAATAAAGATAAGGTACGAATGTTCATTCAGTCTCACATAAGGGAGATGGTATACATCAGTGTACAAATAACTTAGCAATGTTAGCAAATTTGCTTCAAAGCAAAATGAGGGCCTTTAGCTGTTCTCATTTTCTCTTCCTTTTTTGTCTTCCCATACATGACCCAAACATTCTTAGGTGGCAGGTGTCTTCAGTTCAATATTCTCATTGTGATGATACCTAAGATAGTTTCTTAAGTGATCATATGTGTCCATGTAATCACAACCAGAACTTCAGTTTTTCTGCTTAAGCCAGTCCAAGCCTTATGTTTCCCCATGAGCTAACCCAATTGGTGGTTCTCAGAAGGTCATATCTGATCCTGGGATGTCCAGATGCTGATTCCTGCTTTATACCTTTGGCATCATTTTGAACAATGCCATTTCATTCTCCTCCCATTTTTCTGGTATGGGATGTTGTTGTTTTATTGGCCTTCCCTAAAGCCATATAAAGGAATTGATACATGTTCACCAACTGGATGATATTTTCTAAAAGGTGTTTCACGCAAAAGGACTCTTGTATCAATATTTATTCTGCTTGTATTGTGAAACCTACAGCATGACTGTGGATGAATAATTTGAAATCCATCATTCACCATTTTGAATGGTATATTTTTGGTCCTTATTTAATTCCCTTTAGAATTCAGATGGAGTGGCCTGAAAGTCATTGTGCCATGAGGGGCACCCTTCAGATATGATCTCAGAGGACATAGAAACAGAGCAAGTCAGAAGGCACCTCACGGGCCATCTAGTCTGACCCCCGGCTCCAGCTGGCTCCGCTCACGACATGCCCACCATGCGCCTGTCCAGCCTAACTTTGAACACCCTCACTGATGGGGCCTCAACGACCTCCCATGGAAGCCCATTCCACACCCTTGGGGTCCTAACTGCCAGGAAGTGCTTCCTGGCATCTAAATAAAACCTTGGTTCCCTGAGCTTTGCTCCATTGGAGCGTGTCCTGCAGTGATTTGCAGTCACTGTGAATGGAAAGGTTGACACTCTATTTATTTATTTAAAATATTTATATGCTGTCCTATTCGCAAAAAAGCCTCAGGACGGCTCAAAATGCAAAACATAACATAAATAAAATTCCCAACCCACACTTGCTGCAATTAAAAACATAGAAAAGACAATATTTAAACTTATTAAAATACCACTGGAATAAAAAAGGTCTTAACCTGGTGCCAAAAAACAAATAACGACGGTGCCAGGTGGACCTCTCTGGGGAGTGCATTCCATAGATGGGGCTCCTCTGGGTACTTTGCCTCCTAATATCTTTCACAGAGGGTTCCTGGAGGAGAGCCTCTGCTGCCAATCTCAAGGGGTGGGAGGGCAAATATGGAAGAAGGCATTCCTTCAGGTATGCAGGTCTCAAGCTGTTAAGGGCTTTATAAGTAATAACCAGCACCTTGAATTGAGCCCAGACTTCGATGGGAAGCCAGTGAAGCTGGTAGAGGACTGGGGTTATGTGAGAATAACTCCCAGTCCCCCTCAGCAACCTGGCTGCTCTGTTTTGCACCATCTGAAGTATCCGGACTGTCTTCAGGGGCAGCCCCACGTAGAGCGCATTACAGAAATCCAACCGGGAAGTAACCAATGCATGTGTCACTATTGTTAGGCAGTCTTCCTCCAGGTAGGGACGTAGCTGATGGATTAGCCGAAGCTGAAGGAAAGCGCTCCTCGCCACCGCAGTCACTTGAGCTTCCAAGGACAGCTCTAGGTCGAGGAGCACTCCCAAGCTGTGGACCCTGTCCTTTCGAGGGAGTGCAACCCCATCCAGGGCAAGGTCCTGGCCACCTACCCAGGAGTTTGATCCATCCACCAACAGGACTTCTGTCTTGTCTGGATTAAGTTTCAGTTTATTGGCCCTCATCCAGCCCATTACCTCAGCCAGGCACCAGTTCAGTACAGCCACTGCCTCACCTGGATTGGTTGAAAAAGAGAGGTAGAGCTGGGTGTCATCCGCGTACTGATGATTCCGCAGCCCACACCTCTGGATGACCTCTCCCAGCGGTTTCATGTAGATATTAAATAGCAAGGGGGACAAGATGGAACCCTGCGGTACTCCACGGCATAGCTGCCATGGCACAGAGTCAAAGTCCCCCAGCACCACCTTCTGGAATTGGCCATCGAGGTAGGAGTGGAACCACTGCCAAGCAGTGCCTCCTACTCCCATTCCTGCCAGCCTATCCAGAAGGATACCATGGTCAATGGTATCGAAAGCCACTGAGAGGTCCAGAAGGACCAACAGGGACATATTCCCCCTGTCTCTCTCCCTGCACATCATACAGGGTGACCAAGGCAGATTCAGTACCAAACCTGGGTCTGAAGCCGGACTGAAATGGGTATAGATTATCCCGCCACCACCTGTTCCAACACCTTGCCCAAAAACGGGATGTTGGCCACCGGTCTATAATTGGCGGCCATTTCTGGATCCAGGGATGTTTTCTTTACCGCTTCCTTTAAAAGAGCAGGCACCCAGCCATCCCTCAGAGAGGTGTTAATAACCTCCAGGAGCCAGGAACCAATCCCGTGTTTGGCTTTGGTCAGCGGCCACAACGGGCAAGGGTCAAGTAAGCAGGTGGTGGGACATACTCGTCCAAGCACCTTGTCCACATCATCGGGCCGCAATAACTGAAACTCATCCATTAATACCTGGCCAGACGGAGTCATTGGCATCTCCCCTAAAGGATCTGAATCACTTGTGGAGTCCAGCTCATGACGAATCTGAGTGATTTTCTCCTTAAAGTGCTGGGCAAAGTCATCACAGCAGGCCATCAAAGGTGGTACAGGATCTTTCTTAGGGCCAGGATGTATCAGCTCATGTACCACTCAAAAGAGCTCTGCTGGACAACACCGTGAGGAGGCAATGGAAGTGGAGAAGAATTTCTTCTTTCTCTATTCCTGTTAATATCTGCAGCTTCACAGAAAAATCCCAGAATCAGATTCTGTGTGCATGTTTCTTCCTTCCATGAATAGCCTTCACGTTTGTGTGTCAAAACATATTTAGGTTCTGTTGATTTTCAAAATGAATTACATTGACTAATTTGGCAGCTGCTAGTGGCGGTTGAATAGGTAATGTGAAACAGCCAATGACAATGTGGTTTTAAAAAATAAAATAAAATCCCCTACCACACTAATGGCTGTGCTTCACTGAACATTAAAACACCTTGGACAGCCATAATGACATTTTTAATTAGGGCTGAGCAAAGCTCCAAGGATGATTCTGCCAAGGAATGACACCGCATGTTCGTGGTATTTATCTGGAAAAGCTGATGAATATTTTTCACAAGGCAAGGATACTCTAAATGCTTAATTTGCATGTTAATATAAATTTTCTCAGCACATGTCTGTTATTCCTCATTCAAAGTACAGACTAACTTGCTTTTACTAATGTCGTGCTGTCATAACCTCAACAGGCATTCTGTAGCTAATTGCTGTCCCTTGTCAAATTGCTGAGCATCTTCCTATTTAGCTCTTGAATGCAAGCAGTCCCTGCATTACGAATGAGTTGTGTTTCTGAGAAAACATAAATTTGTCTTTAAGTCGAATTTGTATGTAAGTCAGGTCACATATCGTTGGCTATCCACATTCATGCAGGTTAGGGGCACAGGACCCCTATGAAAGTGGAAAAACTGTAAATATCTCTAGCCCTCACCTGCCAAACTTACCAGTACTGCCTGTTTGCAGCAAGGAAATGCTGGAGAAATTTTCCTCTCCAGATGGGCAGGGCAAGAAGACATGCTTTGGAGGCCTCCTTCTCTTCCCTTCTGCTTCTTCTCACTCTATGGTGATGCTTTGGAGCCCCCCTCTCCCCTTTCGCTTCCTCTCTCTCTGTGGTAAGGATGATCCTCCTCTGTAATTCTTTTTAATTAATAAGCTGTGTGGCAGTTTGTTCATAAGTACAAGTTGTTTGTAACTCTGATGTTCATAACTTGGGATTGCCTGTAATGCGTATCCTGCATATTTCATAGAATGGGAAACTGTTGTGAAATATTTAGCAGAAAGCTGCAGTTTTTTCACTGTTTTAATAACTAGCAACCCAAAACAGATCTGTGGTTGTGGCTGGAAACATTGTTTTATCAGGGACTCTGGCCTGACCAGACATACTGGTGACTTCTGAATTCTTAAATTTAACATGGCTTTTCTCAGTATATCAGTAAACCATTGTGATGAAGTTGCACATCATCACAAGGTCTGATAAGCAAGGCTGATCAGGACATTTTTCATCACTGCTGGAAACAAAGTCTTCTGTGAAAAATTGAATGGGATGTGTTTAGAACATGTTATGTCTTAGCTTTGTGCTTATGGAGTTATTAAAAATTATATATTCCATCAATTTTCATGGGTTGTTTATAAAATCTCTAGGGTGTAAATTGAGGCAAGGATAACCAAACTTTTATATCTGTTTTTCTATTATGCTTCCTTTTTCCATTTGAAGGTTGCTGTCTGAAATTAAGAAATATTGTGTAAAGATTGGAAAAGAGTGTCTTTAGCTTATGGTTTGCTTAGCAAATTAATACTCTTGATTTGCCAGAGGTCCACAAATTTTGGTTGGACTTTGCCAAAGCAGGTTTTTGCTGGCTTTGGCAGGAAGCCAAAATGAGTTGTAGAGGCAGTTCTCGCCGCTGATACTATGCTCATCCTTGCTGGACTTTGAAGCCAATGTCAGCTTCACTCTTACTGTCTGTAAGTTGGAGATACTCTTTTGGACAAACCCCTTCCAGTTAGAAAACTAGCGAAACACCATCATGCCATATTCTAGCCCAGACTTTTGCCACCTGCGCTTGTTTCTTGTTTTTACAAGAAAGAGTTTTTAGTTTATTGGAACTTTAGCAATTGTGACTCCCTGGGCCCCCGACCAATGATCTGAAATGTGATCTCAGTATGCTATCACTTCATTCTGTGAGCTCCAGAGCCAAGTACTTCTAGAACTCGGTCAATCTGTCAGTTCCCACCATGAGCATAGTTTGTGTTCC